ATACCCTCTATGAAGCCTGTAAATTTCTCATACGCTCCATTTCTACACAAATCTTGACATGCGGAGATAGTCGCTATAAACGGATAAAGACTCCTGCCTTAATGAATAGGCAACGATTGGTTAAACGTTCTCTATACCAATTAGGGGTTAAGGGAATCTCCTGGATCCCCCCATGACACAATTGTCTCTACCTATTGGAGACTGCGACGCTGGAAGCTCACTCCTTGAGAGTGTTGATTGCCGGTGTTGAGAATCATTTCCAAGTCGTTTCGGAGTCTCAAGTTCCCTCCTCGGCTCGGCTTACCTCGGGGACATGATGGGCGGCGTGGACCGGGGAAATACGAACCGACTTTCACCGGAGGGGATGGGTTCGTCTCTAAATGGTGGATTTAATCTATTGGTGTAAGGGTGGTCCCTCTTCAACGCGTCCTCTAAACATTCATGGCATGATTTCTTTTCTAGGAACACGTCGCGAGCTTTCTGTACCCACCATTCCATTTAAACCATAGGCCTATAGAAAATTCGAAGGTTTTTGTGTTTTCTTGATGACGTAACATTAACCGAATGTTAGATAAAATAAGTTCCATTCAACACGTCTGTGGTGTGCGTGCGCCTGTAATCCAGCTAACAGTGGAAGTTACAAACTGATTCAGCCGAGGACGCAGGTTCGAAACTGAGTCACGTCTTTCGGATTGTGACGTTTAAAGGTCGGTCCCCAGACTTAAATAATCATATATGATTGACACACGTCTGTAAAAACACAATACACACACATACACGTCCAAAGTCTGAGGTGAGAATACATCAAATGTCAGTACAAATACAGCTCCATATCAAAGTAAACGAACGCCTATCTGAATTATTTTATTTTAGGAATCTTCTTATTTCTTTTTCCAGGACGAAAAATGATAACATATCAAGAAATACAATACAAATTTTTGTTTTTGAAACATTCTAGCATTCTAACGTTCTAGCGTTACATTTGAGTAAAAGCAAGGAATATTGCTATTTGTAAGCGCATTGCTAACATTCCTCTATCAAACAAATTCACATATAATAAAACAAAAATGTAGCTCAAGAATTGGGCTGACTATTATACTTTATACCCATGATTATGTACCTCTGTTTTGGTCTGCGTCCATTACTCCCAGCCTATATTTCTGCCTTCTCTAGTCGTGATCGTTTCACCTATTTTTAATTTCAATCTATTACCAGCAATAATGTATTCCTAGGTCCATTTCATGCTTCGTATCGTTTATTTCATTATCGTCCGATTGTTTGGCAATTTACTTGGCTTTAAAAAAATAACTATATTTGCAATTGACCTTGGAATTAATAGATTTTACTGCAAAATCATTATAAACACTTTCACCATTACCGGGCATGGGTAACGAGGTATTAGCGATTTTGAAATCGAGGTCAGGTCGACGTTTATATGAATTGGGCGTAAATAGGTTGCCCATACAAAACTATTGAACCTGTGACACCCATTAGGAAGAAAGCAATATCGGCGACGTATAGCTCGGTGTTCAAATCAATCAATTTTGTTGTTTTGTACATGTAATAGTCATAAGCACGTTCGTAAACGTACATGATAAGGGTGTAGACGGTTGATGTTTTGACGGATATTTGGCTGTTACCTATTTGTCCGTAATTTGCTTTCTAGTTTTTCGAAAATGGAAATAAGTCTTCATATACTTAAACATCGTATATGTTTTTTTTCTGTTTGTTTTACATGAATGGCTGATATTTCCGTGATATCAAACTTTTTGTTTCATAATTCAATCACTGGACTTCAATGCCTTGTTCTGATTTTGTGTCAGTTTACGTTTTAAAATGTTCAACATGTGGAATATTGTATCAAGTTTTAGGATTGCTATATATATTTATGTATGAATATCAGTCAATTAATTTGATGCGAATTTTAAATCCTCATTTTGAATACGTTGACGCTAATGATCACGGTCGTGAAATTGCAGTCTTATAATCAAATAATTCACACTTTGCAAGCAACCCATCTAACCTAAAACACACACACACACACACACACACACGCAAACACACACACTCACACGCATATTAACACTCACCCCTCCCCACACACGCATAAAGTAATTAATAGCCTGAAGATTTTCCGTGCTTAAGCTAGGTACGTCTTACCTAATATAACGTCTTAGAAATTGAATATGCGCTATATTTGGCACTCATATCGGGCGAACTTCAAAGACACCCATTCATCCAATGGTGCCAGATTAATCCTATGTGTTATTTATATAACCTAATTGACAGGGATTGCAGAACGGGTGCACTTTCATAAATCGTGATGTTTTTCTGAGAACGCCACTAGCACATACTCAACAACTACGGTGGCGCCAAATGCCCTGAATGCGGATTAGGGTTTTGCGAAAATATTTTCATCCATGCCCGCTGAAAGAAACATTGTAATGAGTCTTACAGGAAAAAGTTTGACAGAGTGCTAATCTTATTGCCCTTTTTGAAGAAGCCTTCCTTATTATTTTCATTCCTTTTCACCCAGTGTTATCATGCTGTAGGTGTACATTTTTTGTTTAATAATAGAAATCATGTGTATCTTTGCGCAGTAATGAATTGGCCTGTGAAATGCGATGCAACCTTTTTGTATTAAGGCATTCCCGAAAAGCAGACCCTTTTTCCATGCTAAATCTAAACTTTAGTGTAGTGACTCGATTGGTATGTAACACTTTTCTTTCTATTTTTCTCTAGACATATTTCTTCCACCTATGTGTAGTCATTTAGACCGCACCATAAGTTAAAGATAAACTTTAGTACTGGTAATGCGATTGCATTGTGAAAGAAAAGGTGTGGAAAGGATCAGAAACAGTTGATCATGTAGCATGTAAGTATTGGTGTGCACTGCAAGGTTCTAGAGTCATCAAAATCATAATAAATATGACCGAGTCTTGGTAAAGTTACAAGCACTGTACACAGAAAGCTATATATGGGACAACACACATGGTGTCGGGTCTAGTACTACCTTGATTTCCTTGTCTTTCTATGCTCATTACTAAGCCAGTATACATTTTCTTCAAAATTGTTTGGCACATGTCATTTATTTGTAATCTTGAACATTCAGTGTTAGTTTCGTTTGATTATGTGAGAATTAATTTTCTTTTTTTTTACCAGAACTGGAGTTTATCTTTAAGGTTTCTCATGACGATAATTCATGTAATGTGTGCCTGAACCAAAGTGGATATGTATGTTCACACACCTTTCCAGAAATTACATGACGAAGCAAAAGCGACAACCCATCAGTGGGTATCATTCTACCAATACAAGATAAACATTACGATATTAATATACTGTATCACTCGTTTATCGTCATACGCCTCTATTAGAAATCCATTTGCTTTATATCGACTACCCATCGAGAGTGCTGACATAGATGTCAACGAATTGGAAAGGGTAAATCACTTATATGTCGAGAGGATTATAGCTGGGGGCAGTCTTTAAGGGGAAAGCGACTGAAGAAAATGAGAGGCGAGGATTACAGAACTTTTATGATCCAGGATTAGATGACACTACTTTATTTGTTACTCGAACGTTAATGTAATTGGTCGGATAACATGATTTGTATTTTTGCTGCGCATTCTTAATACCATGATTACTCAATGTGAAAGCCAAGACACTACCTGGTTTTTATTGAATGCTTAGTCGCATTTGTTGTTGAAAAGTGGAGGAGAAAGGGGAAAAGTGAAAAGAAGTCGATTGTATTTAGATCAAGCAGACAATGTGTTTATTTCGTTTATCAACTTTCAAAGTTGATATTCATTCAATAAGCCCTTTTTTGATAGGCTGTGAAACTACGTGAATTTATTTCTCTATAAACAGCCCTGTGTAGCCAATGATTTGACGTGACATGGGCCTTTCTCTACGTTGCATATTATTCATTCCTTTATTGAAAATGACGATTTGTATTAAATTAATATTAAAACAAATTATATACGTGCTGCATGTCACTGCCCTGAATTAACATGGATGTTTAAGTGTCGTTGATTGTAGAGTTGACGCCCACGCTGGGGGAACACATTCCAAGTGGGTAGAAAATTATACTTTGATTAAATGCTAATCCATTTTAGCATTAGGCGGCTCAGCCATTTCACACCAGAAAATTGTCGACTGGACTTTACAGACAGGTTAGTTAAACCATGGATGTCCATGGTTAAATCAATGGATCTACAAGATAGTGTTTCATGAAATTGGAGTTATAAACATAATTTGTGATTTGTCTTACAAAACTTATATTAATGGTTTGAAAGTTCGGCCTAGCTGACTGCTGATACAGCATATGTATTCTGGTAAGTAAGACACTAGAGGACCGACGGCTTTGTGATTTTCAATATTTCATCGTGCTAATTTTACAAAGTGGCAACAATGCTGCACGTAGTGTTGCATGAACAAAGATGGCTACCTCGATCAGAAAAAAACATTGATAACATTGGATGTGGAAAACAGTATAGTGCACTGGGCACGTTTTCACGTTTATACTGCCAATGATACGCAGCATAGGAGTCGCATGTTGGAACCGGGCAAGATACATCTTTGCACATCTTCAGTAGCTGGATCGATAGACAGCGAGCCTGGGAAACATACTGCCTGATTTACCTAGGGTCATGTGCATACAGCCTTTTCCCGGGGTGATTTAAGTGTCGCACATAATGAGGGACCTGAGGGGGAGGCTGTTCTGTAGTTTTGCACATCTTTCGCAAACAAGAGATAAATACATTTGCTTGTCTATTTCGTGAATTCGAATTTGCAGACGTATCTTTGAAATTGTCTTTAATTGGGAAAAACGTGGATTATTCGTAATAAAATATGAGAATGCTTTAAGTTACCTAATCTTACTTAATAGGGGAAGGGGAGGGGGGGGGGGTGCACATTTTGTTGTTGTTCTGTACAACTTATGAGTAGAGCTCTTACATCATTTTCTTACCTCAATCGACACATCATTTTGTTGAAGTAAAATGGATGAAGGGGAGAAGAAGGGAAACAGTAAGTGGAGGTAGAAAGAGAGTGGGAGGGATAAAAAGAGAGAGAGAGAGAGAGAGAGAGAGCGAGAGAGAGAGAGAGAGAGAGAGAGAGCATTTTACCGAGGATATTGCCTTCAACCATCATCCCTTTCATACATTCGGACTTTTATAAGCTTTTCATGTTCTCTCGAATGTCACACACCGGTGCTAGCGATCGCTCCCTCGCGCCCAAGAACGGTGCAGTATTTCCTATTAGGCACAAACCCCAAAACGCACGAGTCGGACTACTAAAAGAATGCCTCAAGGCGCTTAGCATCATCCGCATGGAGAAAGCTAACCCGAAACAGGAGTCGATGTTAAACTAGAGGGTTTTACTGGTATTAGAAGTTGCGCAAGTAGGATGACTTTCCTCAAGCCCTTGTTCAATATTGGAATTGAGATTCTACTTGGACATTTAGACGACGTCGGCGACCTTGGAATTGGTTCAGTTTGAACATGTCAAATGTTAGCAGAAAATAATATCGTTGATTACACCGTCGTATGCAGAGAGGGGGTGGGGAAGAGAGAGAGAGAGAGGAGAGAGAGGAGGAGAGATAGATACAGAGAGGGAGAAAGAGGGGGAACTTTCCACTCCATGTAAAGCGATTTGTATGAATACATGGACATAGGAAAAAGGAGTCAAAATGTAGTTATGTTTAATCTTTAAATGTCTCTCCATCTGATATCATTGCATCCATTTGTTAGAACATCAATGATATCAGGTAATTGGGATTATTTGGTGGACAAAATTGTTAAAGCATTCAATTATTCAAACCCAAAATGACAACCTTCAGCTCTCAATGATGCCAATAGAATTACTAGTATGAGAAAACATAATTGCAGTTGATTTTGGAGGACTTTTACCATAATGTCGTGCTGCAGTCCGATATTATGGATGGAATTTGTATTACGTCCATTTTACTCATAATGGCACAGCGGCATTTTGACCGTTTTTTCTTTGTTCTTCATAAAGTTTCATTCATATTTTAGTCTTTTTTTTATGAACTCCAGACCCAATTTTCTCATTCTTTTGGTAGAATTAAGTATAATATTCAGATATAGTCGTGCTAGTAATCATTTGTTGTTTTATTTTTCCTTTGAATGTTTAGAGCAAATTGTCCTGAAACTAGAATATGAAAATCCCGTTGTTCATTTTAGATATATATATATACGAATTGTATTCCTACCGCGTTACGAAATAGCTCTAAACACAAGGTACATGTACTACAACTAATCAAATAATTTCAATTGGATATTTCATACCATGGTGATTATTCACGTATTCATGCCTTCGGCAGCCATTCAGTCGATTTTACTATGTGTTTTAAACAAAATTTTGAAAGGTCTTTGAAAAGGTCACATCAACTCTTTAATTTGATCATCTTTTGTAATTCTTTACAGGCTATGGACACTCGGCACCCTTAACAAGCGGAGGCAAGGTCTTCTGCATGATCTACGCCCTCATCGGTATCCCTCTCAACTTGGTCATGTTCCAGAGCGTTGGAGAACGACTCAACGTACTCATGGGTTTCGGCGTCAAGAAAATCAAGAAATGCCTACGGTTCAAGAAATGTTCGGTGTCACACACGGAGCTTGTCGTAATAGGAGGCATCGCGAACGGCATCATTACAGTGTCTGGGGCTATAGCCTTTGTTCACTTTGAGAAATGGAACTTTCTAGAAGCCTTCTATTATGTCATAATAACGCTAACAACTGTGGGGTTCGGCGACTATGTCGCCTTGCAGAAGGATAACGATATCCAACAAAGACCCGAATACGTGTTCTTTAGCATAATCTACATATTGGTAGCTTTGGTCGTGTTGGCCTCTGTGATGAATTTGCTTGTGTTGCGATTATTGACGCTTAACACGGAGGACGAGAGGAGAGAGGCCCAGGAACAGGAACTCGCGATGAGACAGAGCAGTCACGAGTTAAATCACATAGATTCGCACATGAACTTCTTTAATCACAACCATGCGCGAGGACCATTGCTTGCGAAAGGGGAGCATCGGGCGTTCTGCTCGACGTGTAGCTGCAACAGCAAGGCGCCGCATAGAACTAACCCTGATTCTTACGCGGTGGACTTCAGTATCGATGCAAAGGGGGTTTATGGTAACAACTATAACCCGCATACGCCTGCTGTTTACAACACATTGTATTCCGATGACGCGGAAGTTTTCGAGCAATTTTTATGTACGGATAGAACAGGCACACGTGCATCGATATGAGTCACGTCACCCCATGATCACAAGTTTTTAAACCGCATGAAACCTGCTAAAGGAACAAATCGAGAATTATGATACTCCTTTTTTCTTGCAACAGTGATATATATATTGAACAGAAGTACTACTAACGTGACAGCTTTATTACCGTACTACGTGTTTTTGTACATTTCCATATATATACCATGCACAAACTTGCCTTTGTTTCTTCCGTGCGTATTCCTTGTTTATGCACGTGTTAAAAACAAGAGTGCTTTCACTGTACGGATGTCTCTGATGCAAGAAGAGTCCCCCCTCGAGTTTTTAGAAAAATACGTGACACGTTCACGTATATCACCAAAGTCCCTAAGCTATGTGTATATTCGATTAAAGGTATTGACGTGATATTTGAAATGTTATCAGCATCCAACAGACAAATCTCAAACTTGGTTGTAAGCTCGTGATCACAATATTTTGGATGTGTTGTGTTCAACGAGACTTTGTTGTCGTTTGCACTTCTATGATTGAAAAACTAACATTTCTTCCGTGAATTTATCCTCGCATTTGTTTGCTCTTTTTTTTTGGTCACGCCCCCTCTATTATAGAACTATCATCATGATCATGTATTGTATTGTGTCGCAAGAGTATATATTCGCATTTTATGGCGAAAGGTCGATAGTACCCCGAATAATCTGGTTACCTTATAAGCACAGCCATAAACCATTCTTCCATTTTATAGAAGATGTGGGTAGTTGTAATATTGGCCTTACCTCCATGTCGTCATCACGTTGTAATTGTTATTAATTTTTGAGTCATCGGTTTGATACAATTAGGCTAGTAGCCAAGGCCAAACGATGAATTCCGTTTCCTTCGCTGAAATGCAAGAGGTGATGACCCGTGTCCCTGTCCATGCCTGGCCGCTACGAACGACTATTGATGCCTTCAATCGGAACCATTCACCATCATGACCATCTCGAGATCATCGTTGCTTAGACACATCGCTTTCCTTTGAAGAAATTATCCTTTATTTCAAAATATTTGGCTCTAGGGTTTGGTCAGAGCTTACATTTTTATAAATAAATGCCCGTATCATCATTTAGGAAAAATGAAGGACGTTGGCAGTGACAATTGTACGTATTGATGCTTTTCGAAAATTGAATGATTATTGAATAATTGTTAAAATGCCAACATTGTTGACACTCTAAATGTCTATAAGTGTGCACCAAATAATAAGTTTCATAAACTTGACAGGTCACACAAATCTTTGAATTGAATGTCATGAAAATTTGCAATTACAAAAGTAGTCAATACCCATATATGTTCTAGTATCGTTTTCCCATCTACGCATACTAAAACTCCTGAAGTATATTACCACTTCTTAATGTGTGGATACTTGTTGCATTCCGTGGCATAGTCTTTTTCGCCCACCATTAAACAATGGACATGTAACTATATAATTTAATGGGCATCTGGAAATGATAATTAGATTTTAATAGCTCATTATCATTCATGAACAAATGGTCTCTATTTTGACGACAAGGACAATGGTAGGATATAACCTCTTTAAGTGAACAGGCTTTTCTTCCAACCGAGATCAAAAGGTTTCGACTAACTTCCTTGCAATCACATAATGGAAAATAATATATACATTTATGATTTATAATGTTATTTGACTTGAGTTATGTTAATTATTTATTTTACTTTAACATGTGCCTCGTTTTTCTGCGACTTACAGCTTCTATTCTAAAACACATCATATATTTGTTATTGTTACTTCTCCCTTTTGAAGCAAAATACGACATTCTGTATAATTCTGACCACCTCCGAACCCCTATGTATTTATAAGGTATTTGACAGTAGGATTTCGAATGTATTTATTTTGATTGTATGTAATTATATTTTAAGCATATTAATGTATTTTTTAGGTTGATGGGTGACAATTTGTTTATAAATGAACATGCTTTCGAATGCAGTGATTCATAGTTGTCTAGGTTTCCTAAAACCTCGAACCTCATGGCATTCTTTCTAATTGTTTCTTGTTTGTTATGTCCTACATTTTCTACATTTTCAATGCAAATATATATTATAAAACCTACCTTAACTTCATTAGCTAAAATATCGACGTACACTATCGAGGTAATAACAAAAAGTATCCTTACTTTGTTACAAATAGTCTTATACTTAATTGATTATTCCTTAATGCTCCTTAAAAAATGAGAACAAATAGACAAATGTACAAATTTATTTGATGAATGAAAAAGGCTGACGAACAATACATCATGATTCGAACAACTTGAAGTTTATCACAAATTACAAACTGAACAATTCAGGAAAATGGAAGAACAATGGGCAAGTTAGCATTGAAACAAATCCTGTGAAATTATGTCGTTGTGACAGGAAAAAGGGACATCAAAATTAACAGAAAGAGAAAATGTGCAGTCATGGTGGTTTGGCAAGCATGAAGATACCAGTGTGAAAGGTGTCGGAGACCCAATGTTGTTTGTATTCCCAAAGATCCTTGCAGTGTCTGTATTCTCGCCTAATAACAGGGTGTGACTCTCGGTCCAAACACATTCTGAAATTATCCAATAACTTTCACACACCTGCACGTCTGATGCTCTATCTGAAGGTTCTTGACACAAAGAAGGAGAGGCATGAAGGTTTAAATAAAAAGGAGAGAAGCAATACTAAGAAGGATACAGATAGACATAACCTCAAAGTAAAAATAGCAGGTCGAGGAGACTGTGCATTTGGGTACGTTGCACTTCCTTTGGACGGAAGCAAGTTTTCCAATCCCTTGTCAAATTTGCCTCACTTTCCGGGCACAAAATGCATAGTCAACCATAATGCGTTCGAGACATGGAAATCTAATTAAGATCCTCTTATATCGACAGGTGTAAGTAACAGTGTGGCATGCGTATATAGTGAAGGAAGGGAACACGAGAAAGGTTGAGGGATACCGAAGTGCAGAGGCGATATAATCCTTAACCCCCTCCTTTTTATTTGTGGATTATAAACAGAAATTTGTTTCGTTTGAAAACGGGCCTTGAAACAAGGGGGAGGGGGATACACTCGCAATATCTTTTGCTCGATATAACACTGCATATACTCAGTGCCTCTGACGAAGACCTTTATCAAGCGGGATGCAAAATGTCAAACTAAGTAAAATCGCCTACCTGTTTTTTTAGAAGCCTAATCTAGACTAAGTCCTAAATCTAACAATTCTCGATGAATAATAGGCAGCTCATATCCATGAAACATCGGGGATAACTGATATGCATTTCTGCGTGAAAGTTATTTTTTACAGTGGTGGAAACAATTATGAATAATGGATAACGAAGGAGAAAGGAGATTGTAATGCCAGCGCAATTATGAAACAGACTGCGTTCTGCATAGGGTGGGTATTAATAGCTGGTGTTTTATTTTATCGTCTACTTTGTATGTCATTTATTGTTTCGCGCGTCACCTTGGTGGATTTTTGTTCTTGGCATTATTGATTCAATAACGGGATTTGGCAGTAGATTTTCACACCCTTTCACTGTCCAGGGTTACACACGGGTTCACAGAGTGCACTGTGGTACATGTGCAATCACGAAAATGTTAAATCCTTTTTTGAAGATTTGTTTCATGACCCAGAATGAAAAGCGTGAAACCGGTGGCTATCAAATTGCAAACACCCATCCCAACAATGACACGTTCACAATGGATGGATGATAAGATATATTATTACAGTCAATGCTTAAGGTTAGCTGCTCATCAGCAAAAGGCGACAGTGTCATAACACAGCAAATCATGACAGAGAATAGAGAATCTTATAAGCTCTTTTAAATATTGGGTCATTTTACGAGGATAGATTGAAATTATTCAGCAAAAGTCTTCTGTTTTTCTGAAATATGCGATATATTTCTTTTCTTCAGATAACAGTTTCTCCTTAAAATGTGATCAAATATGTTTGAACCTTGCCATCTGAACAGCTTCTGAAACATAAGTTCTTACACATAATCGTTTCCCGTAGATCAAAAGAGGAAAGCAGTACTTTACTATTTGTCTTATAAATAAAACCGTTAACATTGTGAAGGATGTGATGTCTTATTGTTCCGATTTTTATGTTTCTTTTATGGACATAGTTACATGGCACAAACTGCTTGGATTTTTTTAAAGGAATGTGGCTGGGACTCCTTACAACAATAGGCCCTAGTTTTATTTATTGATAATACATTATAAAACTGGAGTTTTATCAACATTAATCTGGATCTCTGATCCTGATTCCTTTCCAGTTTCACCCTCCTGCAAACCATTCTGACCCACTATGTAACCTACACATTTACCTCGACACGTACCAATTTACTATCACGGCATGACATCTCAGGGCGTTGCAGACATTTGGCCACTCAATAGCGCACGAATAGTATTGCCAATAAACACCGATTACCGTTATTACATCCCCACCATCATGCCTCTTCTCTCGCCTTCTGCTATGCCACTCTCTCTCTCTCTCTCTCTCTCTCTTTCTCAGTATATCTCTCTCCTCTCCCCCTCTCTCTCTTTATCTTAGCTGTCTATGCCGTTGCCTCATGCTGTTTTCTGTTGTATTAATACCACATGTATCGCTTTCCTTCCAGCCGTTCATATTTTCTAGGTCATCACTGTTGATTATTATCAGCGTTTAGCATTTTCCAACATTTTCTGTGGCTTCTCATTATCTTTCATTCTCTAATAAAATCTTTATATATATATAGATATCTCCTTCTCTATCTTACCCTATTTATTGTCCTCTTATCAGCCTTCTTGATCCTTTGCCGATTTATGTATTTCAACCTTCTTATTACTTTTTCAAACAAGCTTCGCTCTTTCTTACCTTCATATCTCCCGTTTACATTTCATCTTTCTCCCATTTAACCATCTTCTTTACTTCCCCCATATGCTATCTCTCTCTCTCTCTCTCTCTATCTCTCAACCTCTTTCTCTGCACATGCGGAGATTACTTGCCGTGATGATGAGGATGATGCATCGATGTGGAACCCTGT